CATATTTATTTTAATAGATTGTATGTAAAATATTTATTATTTGGTTGCACAGCCTTCTATTATTTCTATTATTCACCACAAGTATATAGGCAAAGTTTCTGAAATAGATCTATGAACTAATTTCAAGTGATTTTTCACTTTTACAATTTTCAAATTACTTGCCAAGTTTTTAAAACCCATCTTTGCATTTTCAACATATGTTTTTCTCTGAAAAGCCTGCAAAATCTTCAGAAAAATAGCCTGGCCAATAAAGCATCTTGATGAATGGGGAATCCAACAAGAAAACTACTAGGTAAGATGCAAGAGGGCTAACTTCCAGGTAAACCTGTTTGGGATTATCATTTCAAACAAGCAGTTGACCAAGGGCCGCATTGATTTTAGAATGAACAGTTTAAAAACAACGTTTCAGCCTTTTCTTTCGTAACCCTTATGTATCACCAACAGGAAATGTTTCGTTTTGAAATGTGGCTATACTTCCATTAGTGACTTTCCCCCACAATTTGGTTCAATAATCTGTTGTTCAGTCAGCTAAATCCCAAATACGATGGGAGCAACTCTGAACACTTAAACGAGCAAGCGAAAAAACACATAAAAATGGAATGTATGGCTTAAGCCCCGCAGTTCAGCCCATCCGTTTCCCTTGTTCGGAATATTTTGCCTCCCTCTATTCCCCCAGGATCCTCACCTCCCTGGCATTGGGGATGTGGTGGTGACAGAAGGGAGAGGCGACGTTAAAGGCCGGGGCTTGAGCCAGCAAAAGCAGCTCAGCCAAAAGAAGGAAAGCCGAGAACGGGCTGGAAAAAAGGAAAACATCCCGAGCCGCCAAAGCGGCCGCCATCTTGGCCTCCTTCTTCCCGAGTCCCGTATCACCAAGGTGTCGGAGCCGGAGTGAAAGCGTGCCGCTCCTGACAGCCAATAGGAAATCACGGAATCGTGGTAGAATGAATGCTATTGGTCACAACTCGGCACAGAGGGGCGGAGATAGAAGGAGCCCGGGCCTCCAGGGTGCGCGAAGAAAGACCAAGGTTAAAATCTACGTCACGAGCACTCCTGCCTTGCAGATTGCTGGCGGTTCGGTTGAACGGCGTTGAATGGGACAGGCGGTGATCCCGTAGCAAATGCAGACAGAAGACTTATTTAATACAGATAGGACACCGTCGCTCATTGTTTAGGGCCCTTGCGGTACTTTAGAATTTTTTTAACCTTCCAATAAATTCGATTCTGTGCCTGCTGAATGTGAAAGAAAAAGGCTCCCGCGTTGCAGACGGGGGTACTCCTCCGAAACAACTTTTTGGAATGTAATGCCAAACGCTACCATTACAACACGTTCGTATTATGGACCTCTTTGAGATGCTTTCCTAACCAAGACTTGGAGAGCATTATTTTAGTATTAATGAGATCATATCCTTGTATTTTTGCAACCCATCCAGAAACATCTTTTTTTTAAAAAAAATGGTGTAGGGTCTCCTGCTTGGGAGGGGGGTTGGACTAGATGACCTACAAGGTCCCTTCCAACTCTGATGATCTGTCTGTAAAAAAAATAGGAAGTTTCCTCTTCACGTTCAAACGGATGTTTCAAGTGGCATTTATTAATTGACCCTAAGTTTGCTCTTATGTTATCATCAAAATCTTTTAAAAAGATGCCAAGAGAAAGGGCACCATTCCTTTGGCTCACAACTGAGACAGTCTAGATTGCCACACCTGGGATGAATACACTGGACAGGTCAGTTCTACCTAGAGAAGTTACTCTACAAGGTACAGGTAGACCTTCATTTAATGACCACTCCTTCAGCAGCCAAACTTACAATGTCACTGAGCAAGTGGTAGTTATAATCAGTCCTTGAATTATGGACATCACAACATTCCATGCAGTTACAATGATTACGATTTGGAACCTTCCTTACCACTTTCCGACAAAGTAATAGGAAGTTGGTAGGAAGTTGCAAATCACAGTTATGTGAGGTCCTCTCCTACTAGAACTGCTATTGTTTTGCAGGGCAGTGATGTAGTTTCTCACATACAATGGACTTTCCTGTACAAATTACTGTAGTTAAATGAAGGTTACCTGTACCTTGGAGTCAAATGACGTAGGGCATTAAAAACTGGAACTAAAACTTGAACTATACTCAGAAGGTTATTGGGAATGAACGAATGGCCCACAACACTGATACTATACATCCATAGCTGTTCTCACCTAGCAGCATGGAGGCCACTGTATTCAGCACCAATTTCAGATTCTGAATGGTCTTCAAAGCAGCAGCATTGAAAGTGTATTGCAGTAGTCCATTCTATTTGGAACTGCCTTGACCACATAATGTTACATTTTCTAGAAAAAAATTGTTTTGGATACCACTGAGGTCTTCTGTTCTTTCTGACTGACCTCTCCATGCCTGGAGATATTCATCCACAGCTCCAAAGCCAGGTATTTGACTACTACTGTAACAAATGAAGATCAGTGAGGAAGATCAGCTCCATAACTGCCCTGGTATCTCTTTTAAGCTCTGATAGGCAGATGGTGCCTTTTCTTTTGTTTGTTTTTTGCATTGAGATATTCTAATTTAGTTTAGAATTGGCCCAGAAAAAAAGAATTGCAGAATTCAAAACTAAAAAATATTTATTTCATTATTTTTCTAATAAATAAAGTGTTCTACTTTGTTTAAAGTCATTTATGTCGGAATCATTAGGAAAGAGACAAAGAGTTTTCCCCAATTTCTGTGATGAACCTCCGGTTTTTCTTCGGACTGCATAAATTGTTTCCTTTCAGCAGAAAAGACTTTTGGCACCCCTATAGAATAGATAATAGGAATAAAGGGGGAGATAGGAAAAGTGAGCGTAAACAATGGAAAGAAAACTAATAGGGAGAGAAAGAATGTTGCTTTATTTTGGCTGTCATGCAATAACAATAAACATTCCAAGCAAAAGAAAATAGTTCTGATTCTATACAAAATGACAAGGAAGAGCCCGAGTGAAGAAGGAAATCCAACTAAATTTATTTTATTTTATTATTATTTATATGCCACCCATGTCATGGTGAAGCAACACTGGGTAGTTTACAAAATGATAAAAAGATAATACAAAAAACAATTAAAATTTAAAAAAAATAGAGATCAAATTCCAACTGCAGAAATTGAGTCCGATTTCTGGTGCACTCCTTGGATGGGAAGCCCAGAGGTGTCCTCTTCTGCTTCTGTACCAAAATAAAAAGAGTTTGTGCTTTGTCTTTCTGTAATTCTGTATGAAAATTGGTTTCTTCACTTTGGGTTCCTATACCAAGCCACCTTTCTGGCTTCCCTTACCTCCTTCCTGGGGCTGAGAGAAAGTGGCTGGCCTAAGGGTCAGTCAGCTGGCACTGCACCTAGAAAGGACAGGACAAGGCCTTCTGGTCTCCCAGCTTTTTTTAGTCTGCATCAGACTGTTTCTCAAATTTCACTGGTTAAGAAATATTGAAGCTGGCTTCATATTTAAGGGCCTTCTCTGTGGTGGCCTCCTCTCTATGGCTCAGCAATCCCCCTCCGAAGTTATGGTTGGCCCCCACCCTCTTGCTTTTTCGATAGGCCCTAAATTCATGGTTGGATCAACAGCCCTGTGGATCCTGAATGGACATGGAGCTGATCAAATGGTCAATTTGATGATGTTGCTGCTGCCATTGGTGGCTGCAGTTTTTTTCATGGGTTTATGTTTATGTTGTGATTTTTAATTCTGTAAGCCGCTCAGCGTCACCTTTGTGCAAATTGGGTGGTCATATAAATTTAATAAATAAATGAGAGTGAAATATCAGAGCAGGTAAGTGAAATACTGCCCAATTTGAAAAATCAGAAGAGCCAGTATAATGCTGGTCCATGTTCTAAATGCTCATTCTAAATTGGATCACAGTACAGGTAGTCCTCAACTTACGACCGCAATTGAGTCCAACACTTTCATTGCTAAGTGAAATAGTTGTTCAATGAATTTTGCCCTATTTTACAACCTTTCTTGCCGTGGTTGTGAAGTGAATCATTGCAGGTTAAGTCAGCAAAACAGTTGTTAAGTGAATCTAGTTTTCCCATTGACTTTACTTGTCAGAAGGTTGCAAAAGGTGAGCACACGATTCCCAGGCACTGCAACCGAATTTTGATCATATGACACAGGGATGCTGCAATGTGGAAAAACAATCATAAGTCCCTTTTTTCAGTGACATTGTCATTGAACGGTCATTGAATGAACTGTTGTAAGTTGAGGACTATTTTGTAGTAAAGCATCTCTTTTGCAGGGCTTAGCTGTGGAATTAAAAAAGTATCTAAAGTCCCAGTCTTGACTGCTAAGAAATCACCCCCAACCTAATTCACAATAACAGAGTCTGAAGGTACCTTATAGACCATTTAGTCCACCCCCCTCCCCCCCCCAAGCGGGAGACCCTACCCCATTTCTGACAGATGGCAGTCCAGTCTCTTCTTGAAAGCTTCCAGTGATGAAGTTCCCACAACTTGCGAAGGCAACTTCTGTCCCATTGCTTGATTGTTCTCAGCGTCAGAAAAAATCTCCTTATTTCCAAGTTGAATCTCTCCTTGTTCAGTTTCCATTCCTTAGGAGTCTTCAAACTTGGCAAGGTTAAGACTTGTGGACTTCAACTCCCAGAATTCCTGAGCTAACGTGACTGG